AGTGAAGGAACTGGAAAAGATAATCAAGTTTAGGATGTTTCCCTGGAGAGCAAAGCCAAGATCATCCAGGAGAATGTATTCCCAGTCGCAGGCTATGGGGGTTAAAGCTGGACGGTGAGGACAGCTGGGCCAGAAGGTTTAAAAGTGGTGCCAGAGGAAGACCCTGGGCTGGCAGAAAGACAGACAGGGGCGCCCTGGATCTTTCCCTGGGAGCAGAAATGACACAAAACTGCAATGGATAGCGGCAAGAATGGGGAAAATGCCCGGAAATAAGGAAGAGGAAATGCAGGCTGGTGGGTGTGAGAGACCCCACATGCATGTGTCAGTTGGTCTTTCTTGTTGGTCTTGAGTTTGCCCGGAGCTCAGGAAGAGCCGCGCTGAGCAGGCCAGGAGTGCCCTGGCCCAGCGCTCTGCCCCCGCTGTGGCAAGGTCATGCACTCCAAGGGCGCCTCCCACCAGATTGCAACGGCTTTGCTGGGGTCCGTGATCTGCCCGGGCGCACGGGGACACGGCCCGGCCCGGTTTTCCTAGCAGGGGTGTGGATGCCATCTGCCCGCCCTTTACTGGGCGCTTAGCGGCAGCCCTCGGGGAGGTGCAGTAATTCACAGCCGTGGCTTTGGGTGACTTAGGCCAGTCACAGATTCACAGGGTCTGGGGGGGCAGGGGGTGTAGGCCGCACTGGGCGCCTTGTAGGAAAAAAGGCAGGATATAGATGTAAAAGTTAAATGAACTGGATGGAAATGGATTTTTCCAGCAACCATCACTTAAGGAGTAGAGAGCTGGGCCTTTTCTGCCTGGAGAGGAGGAGACTCCGAGGGGACCTGTTAGCAGCGTACAGGTATGCGAGGGGGTGCCACGCACAGGCGGGTCAGGACCTTTTTTCCCCTGTGGAGTTGGGCAGGATGCGTCCAATGGAGCAAAGCTCCGGGAACCAAGATTTAGGGTGGATGCCAGGAAGTACTTCCTGACGGTTAGGACCCCGAGGGTATGGAGTGGGCTTCCACGGGAGGTGGTGAAGCCCCATCAGTGAGGGCATTCAAGGATAGGCTGGACATGCACATGGTGGGCATGTTGTGAGTGGAGCCGGCTGGAGCTGGGGGTCAGACTAGATGGCCCAGAAGACCCCTTCTGACTTGCTCTGTTTCCGTGTTTCTACGTTTCTGTGTTCTGAGCTGGCCCTAACGGAATACAAAGCAGAGCAAAAATGCCCTTCTTGGTGCTTGTGGTTCCCCAAGAGGCTTGTCTGGCACCTGTGCAATACTCTTTCCGGCATCAGGTGAAGACCTCCCTGCCTTCCCGGGCCTTTTAGCTTTTCAGTTTCAGTTGGTTTAAATCCGCTACAATATCTTAAATCTTTGCATTGCTGCAGGGCTTTATTTTAGGTTTGATTTCCTCTTTATACTGTGGTTTAAACTTTTATGGTGCATCTTATCCTGTATTTTATGGATTTAATTGCTGCGAGCTGCCCAGAGAAATTTAATCAGCATAGAAATGGAATGAATAAATAAATGTTCATCTTGAATGGGAGATTAAACCCTTCAGCTTCGTGGCAGAACTGCTCCGGGCTGGAGGGAGCGGCATCCCGAGCACTGCCTGCCCCTCGTGGGGGGGGGGTTCGCCACCCCTCTTGCCTCCCCCACAACCTCCCCGCAATTTAACCAGTGCCTGCAGCTTCAAGGGGCTTTGTGCACAGGCGCAAGGAAGGGAATGATCCGTGCTGGAATCCCACTGCCTGGTTCCCCCGGCACAGGGCTGCGGAGCTGGACAGGACTGCTGCCAGAAGGTCTGTTCCCGTGCGAGGAGCCGTCCCTGCGCTGGAGAGGAGCGGTGGGTGGCAGGAAACGTCTCTAATCCAGCCTGGGCCACCAGCACCGCCTCCTTTTCGTCTGGAAAGGGGGGCCGGGAGCCATCACCTTGACCTTGGCAAGGAAATGCCACTTCGGTGGGAAGACACATGCCACCTCGCCAAGCTGGGCCTTCCAGAGGCGCTGGGCTGCCCCTCCCATCATGCCCAGCCGGCACGTGGTGGGAGAATTTGGATAGATCCTGTCTGAAAAGCATTACTCCTGTGTGCATTTGCATTGTGGGATCAAATCCTGTCTTCCTTCTCAAAACTCAGCTGTCACTGTTTAAAATGGCATCCCCCCCCCCTTTCTCTCACTTTTAGCTATGGGCTACAGTAGAAAAGCCACTTAGTCCAAATATACGTTGTAAATAGTCATTGTTGGAATTCAGTTTACAATCTTTTGATAGCCCAGAGGGCTTCATGCGTCCTGATCATGCAGAATGTTTAGAGTCTGAGCTTATCATGAATAGTTTCTAGTAGCTTGAATTTGCATGTCTGAGCAGACCTGGAGATGGGTTCAAGTTGCTCAACTAGAGAGTCAATGCAGACAATTAGAAATATTGCACACTCATTGTTACAGTGTGATTGACTGACATTCCTTTATCTGTTCTGCATGTGATGACCTCAGAATCTTGTTGTAATCTCTGCATTCTGTCAACAGTTGCCCTGTACCTGTGTACCTATAAAATGCCCTGTAATGGTATTGAAGCTTTGCAGCAGGGTTCATCTCTGCCTGCCGGGTAATGCATGCATTATCGCGAGTACCGCAGGAACCTTGGGGTAAAACAATAAAGCCTCAGATGGTCTGGGCGCTTGGTCTTTCCCACGAACCCGAGTTTTCTTCCCTCTTCTCAAATTGAGATTCCGGGATTCTGACACACGGCCATCGTCCACGCTATGCGGCGCCTGGAATGAGGCATGGGGGGCCGTCCCTCCTGGAGCCCAAGGGCCCCCTCCTCTGCCCCACGGGAGAGCTCCAGGGTCACGCAGAGCCACCGGCTGATTTCCTGCCGCTGCACTGGGGGCTGCGAGGGCCGGGGGTCCCGCGTCAGCCCACCTTCGCTGCCACCTCTCCACGTGTGCTTGGGGGAACCTGGCTGCAGGGGCAGCGAGCGACCCGGGGCGCCTGGAGGCGAGCCCTGCCCTGCCCTGCCGTCCCCACGGGGCCTTCCCGGTCAGCTGTGTCCTGCTCTGGAGATGCTGGCGGCCCTCCAATGCTTCATGCACCACCGACGGGCGGATGGGGTGCCCTCTCCCGGCCCGGCAGGCTGCGGCCGATGCCTCCGCGTGTGCAGGGACGGGGGCGGGTGAGCGGGCAAGAGGGCAGCACCCTGCGGCTGCCCCCTCACATCCCCGGGAAAGGCCCAACTCGGGGCTCTTGCCCGTCCGCCATGCAGAGGTGCCACTGCCACGGCCTGTGGAGAGGCCACACGCCCTCCGCTGCCAGCCGGCCTCCTTCGATCGATGCTCCGACCCACGCACCCTCCCCTCGAGCAGCCATGCATCTCCGTCCCCCAGCAGGGCGGCCCCACCCCCAAGGTCACCCCTCTGCTCCATCATCCTGTGGCGTTCCTATGGCAACGGTCGCCATAGCGATTCCCAGGCCCCTCCCTCCCAGGCCTGCCTGCTGTATCTTCCCCAGCCCATCCCAGCCCTCGACCTACGGGCTCGCTGCAGAGATTCAAGCAAGGGGGGCAGGCCGGGGGAGGAGCAGGGGGCCTGGGGAGTCCAGCTCCAGGGAGGGGGTCCGGGGCCAGACGGGCAAAGCAGGCCCGCCAAAGAGTGGGTGGAGGCAAGCGTCTCCCAAGAACGAGCAGACCTGTTCTGCCGTCTTGGGGGCATCCTCTGAGCTGTTGGGGTCTTGCCTACTTGCAATATTCTATTCTGACGCCCAGGATCATGGTCTCCACAGGCTGCTCAGGTGCTTGCGCAAATATGCACACACATGAGCACACGCACGGTGCCTGCGGAACCGCATCAAAGCTGGTCTTGCAGTGCGTTTCAAAACAAAGGGGATCTTTGCTCTGCGTGTTGCCCTCCCCCGCCCCGATGTCCTTGGGCTTCAGCTCCCATCAGCCCCAGTCAGCATTGTCAGTGAGCAGGAGTGCTGGGAGCTGGAGGGTCCAGACTGAGGAAGGCTGGCGTTAGGAAAAGTATTCAGAGCAAACGACATGAGCACCTGCCTCCCGTTGAGTCAGCCCAGTACTGCTGACTCTGACCGGCAGCCGCTGCCTCTACCGTGTAGAGACTCTCTTCTCCATTCGCCCTGCCCAGAGTTGCTCGGAATTGAACTGGGGGCTCCCTGCAAGCCACTGGCCGTCGCGGATTCCTGTCCACAGCGGCATAACCTGGTTGATATTCTCGCAGGCCCAAGAGATACGAAGCAACCGTCCCGCAACGCCTTCCCCAACACCCCCCCGCACCTCTAGAGGTTAAGTAAGTCCAGTTTCAGAAGGAGGGAAACCCAAAGCAGAACCCCACCTGCTTGCAAAAAGGCAAGGGAGCAAAACCCCCATTGCCCAGCCCCCGAATGCTGGGCAGCTCCCCCAAAAAGACTGAAACGGCTCCCTGAGGCTCACAGACTGGAAAAGGGATCGCCCAGATAAAATGCACTGGCATTGCTTCTGCGTTCTGGCCTCGTCTCTTTGCCCCGGCTTCCACCCCCCCCCGACACACCCCTCCGGCCCCCAAGAACTTTCCGGAAATGACTCTGGTCCTCGGGCAGAAAGAGGTCCAGCAGCCCCGATGCCTGGAGCTTTGCTGGCCAAACTGGCCACGGGGAAGGGAGATGTTACCGAAGGAAGGAAAAGGGGCAGCCCAGGCCCGGCCAAGGGCAGGAGAGACGACCTCGTGTCACACGATCCCTGCCCTGGCGCAGACGGTGTGGCCATGTGTGACACAGTCAGAGGGGAGTCCATCGACCTGCAACCTGCTGCAGTGGCTCATGGGCTTTGAGTCCCTGTCACCATTTTAGAAATCGCCTGAGAAATGAAGAAGCCACCCCATCGGTCAGCTCTTCCCGGCAAGGGACATTCGGCATCCCCGTTTCCTATACAAGTCTCCCCGGCCAGGCCGCCCAGATGCACTGGGACTACAGACTCCATCCTGCCCAGCCGACAGGGCCGTTGCACGCGTGACCGGGCCCCCCACCAACCTTCAGCTTGTGCTCGTGCTCCTTGTTGACTCGCGAGAGCAGCTGGGCTTTCCTCCGGTTCAGCGCGTCAATCAGCGCGTCGCACTGGGCCACCAGGCAGGCCTCGAACTCCACGCTGTTCTCCTGCCAGGCAAAACACCCATCAGCCACAGCCGCAGCCACAGGGCAGCCCGACGCAGTGCCCCATCAGCCTTGTCGGCTGGGTGAGCAGTGAAATCCCCAGCCAGCTCCCACCTTCCCCTCTTCCCTGGGCACCTTTGCTCTCCTGAGCCAGAGACTGTGGAGGGGGGAGCCGAACCCCCACCCACCAGGGAAGGATGAAAACTTGGCTTCTGCCTCTCCTGTGCCTGATTTTAGACTCCAAGACCCAAGAGCTAGTGGGGGACAAGGGGCCAGGTGTCCTCCTTGGCAGAGAAGAAATGCAAAGAAAGCGGAATGTGTCCGCCACAGACCTACAGGGAGAGCTCTCTTCTCCAGATGCCCAGAAAACATTGCTTGCTTTTCATTAAAATCCAGAGAGTTCCGATTATTTTAGGAGACCTTTTCAGAGGCAGTTTTAAAACCACCTTCCGAAGCCCAGAACGCGATTTCTCTTCAGCTCCGTGACTGGCAGGTCTCAGTTGCTGGACCCCCGCAGGAAGTTTTGAAGCTCGGGTCCGACATGCACTGGGCCCAACTGGGAACCGAGTCCTCTTCCCCAGCATCTTGAAATGCCTTCTCTCTGCCCAGGGCTGCTCTGCAGGCAACAGTCCTCTGTTTTGGAGAGCTGGCAGGCAACAGTAGCTGGCCTGAGGGTGTCCTCCAGTTATAAGCTGCACAGCCCATGCCTGGTGTGAGGTCAAAGAACTATGAGGGGGCAAAATCAGTGCGGGGGGGGGGGGGCTTGAAGGCACCACCGACAGTGAGCCCTGATCAGGAGACCTGGTCCCCCATGGCAGGATGGACTGCCGTTCAGTTTAAATTTCAGTTATTCGGCTTCTGTGCTGAGCAATAGCAATTGTCATGATGGTTTCTTTCTTTGAATTGAATTGTTCCATGTGCATCTTTCACACGTTTGTTTAATTTTAACCTTTGTTAACCACCCAGACAGCCTTGGCTATGGGGCGGTATATAAATGAAATAAATAAACAAACGATTTCTGAATTTGTATCTATCCCGATAAGACAGCCAACGGTGATGTTCAGCAAACTGGTGTTCTCTTTTTGGTGACGCCGTCCATGACTCATCCGGAGTTTCTGGCCTGAACTGGGCCTTACTAGCCTAAGTCCAAGCCACTAGCCCCAGTCTAGTCAGATGCCAGGGGCTACCATTTGGGGTGTTCACGGAATCGGGCCCTTGTGGTGTAGCAGTTCAGAGGCACACGGATCCAGGTGATGCTTCTGAGCCCCTGAAGGTCCTGGTCTCATCCAGCAGCCAGAGGACAAGGGGAACCCTGTTCCTCAGGACGGCCATCCATTGTGGCAAGTACAGGAGAGCAACTGCCACCCGTATCTGGGCGAGAGAAAGCGCAACACAGGGAGCTTGTCTCCCCACCCCATTGCAAACATCTCTGGGGACTTGCAAATTATGCACTAGTGCTGAATTTTCCTTCTTTCCCTGCATTTCTCCTGTTCCAGTCCCCTTTCCTTTTGTGCCATGACTTTGCATGGCAAGCTGGAGGGCAGGGAAGGTCTCATTATTGATTTGCACAAACCTCATGGAGAACTTTTAAAAAAAAATTATTTTGGCTGAAGAGCAGGGCAAAGCTGCTGTAAATACCTGATGATCTGCCCTCTCAGGCCTGTCTGTGTTTCAGAGGCTTCTCTGGAAATTAAAACTCTTGCTTGCCTCCATCTCCAGCAGCTACTCTGTTGGGGGTGGCCCGGGAGGGGGGGGCCTGAGTCCCGGGGGGGGGGTTATTTACATCAAGCGCCTGCAAAGGGGGCGAGGGAGCTGGCAGGGAAGCGTGTTGCTGTGAAAGGAATGGGATAACGAAGCAATGTGGCGATTAAAGGCAAGGCAGTGTATGCTGGACTGGGGGAGGGGTGAAAGGGGGATTTTAATTTGGCAATAACAGTGTCTTGGCTTGATGGATTATGCTCCAGCGCACTTGGAAAGGGGATGGGGGAGCGGGGCTTGGCGAGCCTGTGTTGCTGCAAAGCAAAGCAGCAGTAGCTGCACTTCCAATCAGTCCCGCTGAAAGCTGAGGGTTGCTAGGCATTAACCCCGCAAGCATATTTACTGAGGTGTTATCAGCCCGTGGGGGCTGTGAGGGGGGAGGTCTGCAATGAGAATAGTCGTCCTGCACCTACCTTGGGTTCAGCCCCCACATTTCCTGCCCACCCCCTGAAAGGCGGTGCTGCACCCGGTTGTGCTGTCAGCCAGAGGTTTGTGCAGGAGAAAGAAGCAGCATTTTATGGGGGGACAGAATAAGGCACGAGCAGCCGGAAGCGAAGCGAGAGCTCGGCAGGTTTGCCAAAGGGGGCTTGACTGAGCCCGACACTCGTCTCAGGAGTTAATTTTATTTCGGTGAATACAGAAGCGCTCGCAGCTTCGCTCAGCCAGAGGTCTCCAGATGTGTGGGATTGCAACTCCCAGCCTGGCTGGACGAGGGGAGCTGGGAGCTGTAGTTCCACCTGGCTCGGGGCTGGGGAGGGCTGCTTTGCACTTGCGGGGCAAAAAGAAGACCTGGGTTTTGGCAGAAGGTGCGCTATCATATAAATTCAACAAATTCGTTAGAAAAAGCAAGTAAGCTCAGCAGTCCTCAGAAAGGTCTGGGGAATCGCCCTGGGAGAGCGAGTGAGTGAGCGAGCGAGCGAGCGAGCGAGCAAGCAAGCAAGCAAGCAAGCAAGCAAACAAACAAGAGCATTGCAAATGTGTTTGTTAAAGTTACTAGTCCAGAAGAAAACATGCACATGTTTCAAAAACAAAAACAACTAAGGGCTCACTTGAGCATGCGAACGACTGTTAGGTGATTATTTTGACCTGAGCTGCTTTGGGGTTCCTTCTGAGGGTTCAAAAGCAGCATAGGACATATCTGTAGAGTGACGGGATTTTTCAGAGACCTGGTGAAAATTTTGGCAAATCGCCCTGCTCTTGCAGCTCTCGGAGCATTCTCCACCCCACAGAACTGGCATCTAAGTGCTGTGCAAGACGAGAAGAGCACAGAGGCAGCGCCCGCTTCCCAGTCCCTCTGCCATGCTCTGGATGCCCTGATCCTGTGCGTTTGGTAGTTTAGGGGCTGTTGTGACCAGTGCTTCTGGTTCTGGGCTGGCTGCCACTCCATTTCTGGGCTCAGCTCAAAATACTGGGCTTAGCCCTTCCGTGCTGAAGCAGCCGGGGCCCCGTTCTGGTTTCCTCCCCTGCATTGGTGATGGAGGTGTTCCATATCAGAGTGTTTTTAGGGATTAATGGGGAGAAACATTCCCCTTTTGTTTGCCTGGAGGTAATTCTCTCCTCCCCAGAAGCAGGTCACCACTTCCAGGCCAGAACTGAGGACGGCAGGGGGTGGAGGGGGCAGAGAGAGCCAGTCTGGCTTCTCAGGGGTGCTGGGCAGCCCAGTGGATTGGTGGCCAAGGGCCGGCCAGACCTCTCCATCGCTGGCCACTGAGTGCCTCGTGCCAGCCTTCTCCCACCTTGAGCCCTGCTTCTTCCTGGCTAGAGGCATCCACCCCGTACCTGGATCTGCTGCACCATGTTCCGTAGCTGCACCAGGAACTCTTTGGCTTCTTTCGCTCTGTCGGAGAGCCCGTTTAGCGCCTGAGACAGCTGGCTCTGTGGGAAGGAAGAGAGGGCTGTAGGTTAGAAAAGCTCGTGCCCCAACATGCACTCTGCACATGTTCAAGACCGCTGTCATTCTGGTACCCATGCCAGGACTGGCCACTGGGATTCCAGGCAGGTTATTGCACCAAATGGGTTGAGCTCGAAGGGGGCGTGAGTCCCTGAAGCATCCCTGAAGTCACACTGTGCCTTGCTTTAAATTGCAACTATCAACTGGGCCACAAGGTTGGTGGCCGGTTTGCAGGGGACGCCGTATGAGGCGAGACTGAGGGAACTGGGTCTCTTCAGCCTGGAGAAGAGGAGACTCCGAGGGGGTCTGTGGGCGACATGCAGGTATGTGAGGGGGTGTCACACAGAGGTGGGGAGAGACATGGGGGAAGGCAGGACGTGCTCCAACGGAGCAAAGCTCAGGGAGCCAAGGTTCAATTTGGATTCCAGGAAGCGCTTCCTGACCCCGAGGGAGTGGAATGGGCTTCCACGGGAGGTGGTTGAGGCCCCATCGGTGAGGGTGTTCCAGGATAGGCTCGACATGCACGTGGTGGGCATGTCGTGAGCGGAGCCGGCTGCAGCCAGGGGTCAGACTAGGTGGCCCGGGATCCCCCTTCTGACTCGCTCTGATTCCCTGTGTCTATATGTCTCTGTGTCGTTTCCCTCTTTACCCAAAGGCGAGCGCAGCGGATGCGTTCAGGACCCTTCATGGAACATACGCCTTCGCCCCCTCAATATTCTCTGCCCAGGTCTGCAATTTCTAGCAACCGGCATCTCACATGTGGGGCTGTGTAAAAATCAAAGCCGTTGGGGGGGGGGGGCGGGCAAAGATTGAAGCCTTCTAAGCCTACTCCATGTGCATGCAAAACACATGTTAGTGTCCCCATGTCTTCTCTGATGTGCCATGTGACCCAGCGTGGCCAGTTTCCACAACCTACGGAATTCTTTGTGAGCAAAGAGAGATTTTCCGGAGTGCTGGCGGCACCCAGCTTTGGGACGAATCTGCACTCGGTGCTGTGGGCTGAACAGGCCTGAGCAGCCTTCGCATCGCTGTGCAGAAACTCTCACAGCCAGCGAGGGACTGGCCTTTTCAACAAGCCCAAATAAAGCAGACCAGCTCCACTTTGCCAGAATTCGGGAGACAATGACGACGGCCCTGTTAACATGGGAGCAAGCTCTCGCTGTGGGTTTTTCAATCTTTCTGAACCTGCAGCGAATGTTTTGGCCCAAAATTGGGCAGGACCAAAGACCTCATCAATCATATTGTGCTTGCCAAGATTAAAGTCATTGGAACGACAGGTATCATGAGCAAAAGGATCTCTTTTGCTGGCTTCTAATAACAGAACCTTTTACTTTGCTCCTCGCTTTAACTCAAGAACGGATGCATTAGTAAGAGTTTCCTTTCATTATGGCAGCCATTTAAACCTGGGATTTCACCCCCATCGGTGGGTGTTCTGCTGTCAAAACAGACTGAACCCGCTCCATCCTCCATCTGCTGGGATACTGTAGATACTGGGCATCAGCTTTCTCACTCAGCCACCCGTACAATCAAAGGCCGACTTTCATGCAGTTCCAAAGCCGGCACCTTTTCTGTCTACCGACGCAAGGAACTGTTTGGGCTTCTGTCTAGAGATTTCTTGCCTTAGGATGCAAGAAAGGAAAATCTAGCCAGGTGGCTCATTGACGCCCCGCCCCCATCCCAAATGCACTCATTTGCTTGTGAGAATGTGGCACTTCAGAGAGCTTTTCGGGAAATAAAGAGGCAAGGATGACTCTTTCCTTAGCTATGAAGACCACCACGCCGGACACTTCCCAGAGAAGACAATCATGCTAGGAAGAGTTGAAGGGAGAAGGAACGAACGACCAACTAGGAGATGAATTGACTCCATTAAGGAAGCCACAGACTTGAGTTTGCAAGAGCTGAGCAGGGCTGTCAGTGAGACATTTTGGGTGGCTTTAATAATTCATAGGGCCGCCTAAAGTCATTGATGACTTGGCTGCACATGACAACCACAACCATCCTGACTACTGGGGCAGGATGACAATGGAACCCATGAGCTCGGGAGGCCGTGGGCTCTCTCAGCCTGGAGGCATCCAAGATGCAGCTGGAGAGTCCTCTGAGAGGGAAGGTCTACCTGGGAGTCAGGCGCTGAGCAGGGCTTTGGACCCCATGGCCCCTTCCAGCTCTACTGTTCTGCTGTTCTATGACTCTGCTCCGTCTTTGCGCCTTAAATGAACACTCCTTTTGGGCATTAGGAGACATCGGTGCACCTGTTGTAAAGTGCTCTTCAAAGCACACATGAGCCCCAAGAGAACATGTGGAAGCCCACCTTCCTGGGCATCCAGGGAAAAGATCAGCACCGTTCCTGCCGCTGCCCAGGCTTGTCCGGGATAGTTCAAGTTGGAACCTGCAGAACTTCAGCACTGCAAATTGCTCCTGGGCTTTGCGCCCTCATAGTGGGAAGCCTCTTTCCGCCTGCACGGTGGCCTGATTGATTGCGGGAGGGGAAGGCAAGGATGCGGCAGACGAGCAGAGGCCGCCCGATGATTCATTCCGGCAATAAGTGGTTCCTCCTTGCAATCAGTTGCTTCCACATTATGTAAATTGGGCACCGGGCGCACTGGTGCCGAGGAGGAGGAGGTTTTCTGGGGACTGGGGCAGTGGGGGAGGGGAGAGGTTTCTATTCCGGGGACTCAGAGGCATACAAAGAACAGCGCCAAAGCCGGGTCCATTGCGGGGAGTGAATCAGCCTTGCGCTTTGGCTTTTCCCGTCAGAAGGAGTGGGCTTCCTTCCACTGTTCCTCCACCGCGTGGCCCAACCCTTCCTTCTCCTGCCGCCCTCCAGATGTGCCGGGGGGGGAGGATGGAGGGCGTAACCTAACACACCTGCAGGGCACCTGTCGGGGGCCTGCTGGGAAGGCAAATCTCTCCCGAGGAATTCTGGGAATTATTCTCAGCTCCTTGAACGCACACTGCTACAAGCGGAAGACCCCCTGCTGAGGGTCGGCTCAGCTCCTCCGGCGAGATCTCTGCCAGCGGAAAAGGGACGCCACATGCTGCGGACGCAGCGCCTTGGCCCAAGCGACAGCTCCCCCGGCCTTGGCCTGCATCCCGCACTCCGCAAGCACCGCCACCGATGGATGTTTCCGTGCCTGCCGGGGGATCCACAGTAATAATCTGGGGATGCGGGTCATGCAGTGGGTTAAACTGTTGAGCCGCTGGGCTGTTGATCGGAAGGTCAGCAGTTCAAATAGGCACAGCAGGGTCAGCAACCCTACCTGGCAACCCGAAACATGCAAATGCGAGTAGATAAATCGATGCCGCTTTGACGGGAAAGGCACAGCGTTCCGTGCACCTCGGCGCTTAGTCCTGTGGCCACATCCCCACGGAAGCCTCTTCAGACGGGGCTGGCTCTTCGGCTCGCCAACGGAGATGAGCACCGGCCCAAGTCAAACAACTAGCATGTACGTATGTGCAGGGAAGGGGTGCAGGTGGCGCAGTGGTTTAAACCGCTGTGCTGCTGCGCTGGTAGATCGAAAGGGCGCCGGTTCAAATCTGCACAACCGGGCGAGTTCCCTGTTGAAGTCCAGTCCCAGCTCCTGCCAACCTTGCAGTTCGAAAGCATGCAAATGCAAGGAGATGAAAAGGTACCACTTCGGCGGGCAGGTAACAGCGTTCCGTGCACTTCGGTGTTCAGTCATGCTGGCCACACGGCCACGGAGACCGTCTGCGGACAAACGCTGGGTCCCTCGGCCAGGAAACGGAGATGAGCACCGCCCCCGAGAGTCAGGCATGACTGGACTTCACGTCAAGGGGAAGCCTTTACCTTTACTTTATGTGCAGGGAAACTGTTGCCTTTACCTTGCCTGATGGCCACTTTGCGATTCTGGTTGGAAGGATGAAGGAAAGGCCACTTGGCTCGAACACAACGCTGCCATTGTGTTTCATGCACAGTCCAGCACATGGAAGGGTGCCCCTTGTGCTTATTTGATTGTGGGTGAGGGATTTGATGAGAGTTTAGCTCCTCCACTGGATAGGAGTGTGTCTCCCCGCAGGAGAGCAAAACGGGGAACGCACGCACCAGGCTGATACAGCTGCACTTGGTTTGATTAATGTTTGGAGAATTCTGCATCCTGATGAGAGAGGCAAAGTTTATTTCACCTGTCTATCAACACTGCTCGTCATTCGATTATATTTGGTTTCTACTTTTCACTGTGTCAAATAAATGCTTCTAGGATTGATAGGCTGATAGTTTCAGATCGGGCTCCATTTGGAGTTGTAATTTGCAGGTTTGCCAAGGCATCCGGTTTCTGGAACTTTTAATATTTGTTTTTAATGAGGAGCTGCTTAAAAGTGAGATTGCTACTGAGTTGCTTGTGTATTTTAAAATTAAAGAAAGCACTGTTGATTTTTGTGCTGCTGAGTGGGAAGCCACCCAAGCTTTTAAATGGTGGTAAGAGAAGGGCAATTTTCACCTCTCATTCCCATAAAAAGAAAAGAAAAAAAGCAACAAGGTGTCTCTAAAAAAGATCACAAGAGGAGGCAAACTTTTAAGGTGGAGGGCCACGTTTCCTGAAGGACGGGGGAGCCATGGGCTCAGTGGAAAAGCTAGTGAGTTGCCTACGGAAGGTCCCAGCTTTGGTGCAGGTAGCTCCAGGTGGGGCTGGGGAAGACACCTGTTTCCCCTGCAGAGGAAGGCAGGGTGTGTCTCAGTGGAGCAAAGCTCAAGGAATCAACGTCCAGTTTGGATGCCAGGAAGTATTCCTGATGGTTAGGACCCCGAGGGTGTGGAGTGGGCTTCCTAGGGAGGTTGTTGAGGCCCCATCAGTGAAGGTGTTCAAGGATAGGCTGGACATGCACATGGTGGGCTTGTCGTGAGCAGAGCCGGCTGGTGCCGGGGGTCAGACTAGATGGCCCAGGAGACCCCTTCTGACTCGCTCTGTTTCTTGCTCTGATCCTGTTTAATATTTGCATCAATGGCATGGAAGAAGGGGTGAACAGTCTG